AACAGACAATGGGATGGAGAGAAATGCATAATTCTGACTTGCAGTTTCACTCCTGGTTCTTGCTCATTGACTGCATACAAGCTAACCCCATCAGGGTACGAATGGGGGAAGAGTAATAAGGATGCACCTGCCAATCCACATGGTTATCTACCGACTTACTATGAGAAAGTTCAGATGCTCTTGAGCGACCGTTTCCTTGGTTTCTACATGGTAATGCTTCTCTTCTTCACATTTAAATTTTAGATACATGGTAAGTGTTCCTTGGTTTCTACATGGTAAGTGTTCGGTTCATTTATATCTGCTTTGCTTTTCAGATACCTGACAATGGTCCTTGGAACTACAACTTTATGGGCGTGAAACACGCTGTGGGCATGAAATATGGTGTGAAATTGGGAACACCCCGGGAATACTATAACGAGGATCACCGGCCGACCCATTTCCTCGAGTTCAGCAATCTCGAGGAAGGTGCCATTGCAGAAGGTGACAGGGAAGATGCCTTCACTTGATTTCTTCATCATTTGGGCTTTTTTGTGGAAGAATGAGAGTTTTTCTCATGTTGTAAATATTTTATTTGTTACAAACATTATTGTTGTATCAAACGATGTGCAAGAGAATCAACCTTCATGCAATGTAGAATTTTGACCATTTTATTTTACCTCATATGCTATATAATGGAACTCCTTTTTACTGGGTGAGGTTTTGCAAATCCATCGCCATGGGATTTATTTATATTTTCCAGAGAAATCTTCCTAGAATTTTATTTTTTTTAGTAATTATGATGAGAGATGTTGTGTACGTTTGTGCAATGCAACAATGCAAACTATAATAACATTTGACCTTCACAATCTTTACAAAAAACATTGACAAAATACAAATTTGTTGGTCAAAATAAACACGAAACGATCAGAAGAAGGGCACACAGCCCAAGCATTCCTCTGGAAACAATGATCTTTCTGGCACTTGATGTTTTTCTGCTTGATTTCAAAGCCTCTCCGTCATTTTCTTTAGAAATATGCTGAACCGACACCGGTGGCCCATTTTTGGCTGCATCATCACAAAGCCCGATTCCAGCCCGGGACAACGTGTCCAAATCATCTCCAAGCCCACTTTTGTAACCATAGCACAGTCCCAAATTGTTGTCAAGCCTCAGCTTCATTCCCATTTTCCACACCCTGTCTCTTTGAAATGGAATTGGCCCTATCAATTTGTTATTGTTCAATCTCAGCTCACTCAGGCCATTCAAATCGGCAAAACTTGGTGGTATGCTCCCATTCAACTGGTTGTTATCCAAATGCAGCACGCGCAGCATCGTCAAACGGCCTAACGATTCTGGAATGCTCCCTTCCAACTTCATGCCGGATAATCCCAACATCATTAGATTATTTAGCCCTTCAAACATGTTCTCCGGAATTGTGGCGGATACAGACGGATTGCCGTTGAGAAGGAGCGCTTGAAGGGATTTTAAATTCTTGAGAGATGTCGGGAGTGGGGCCGTTAGAGTATTGTAGCTCACATCTAAGAGAATAAGATACTCCGTACCTATGTTGTTTGGAATGGGTCCCGAGAGTTGGTTTCGACTTAAATCTATTTTGATGAGAGATTTGGTGCTTAAAAGAGGTATAGGCAGTGGACCGTTGAGATGATTTTGATTGAAGTCGAGGACACTTAATGACGGGAAAGTTATGTCTGGAATCGGACCGCTCAATCTATTACGGCTCAAATCCAACGACGTTAGACCGGTTATCCGGCCTAAAGAAGCCGGAATCGAACCGTTGAGATTGTTTCTATGAAGATCCAATACAGTAAGACGGGTCAAGTTGCCTAATTCGTGAGGAATGGGCCCAATGTGCCCGTTTTCCCTCATAACTAAAGTTTGCAACGACGAGCCCAACTGGCCCAAAAAGGACGGTATGGGCTGAGGGTTATCACTAAAACAACGGTAATAGAATAGTGTCCGCAAGTGAGTGAGCTTAGTGAGGGAAGGCGAAATGGACGAACGGGTCGGGTCGCAGGTCGGGAAGGCGGTGTCGGCTGACAAAGCTCCGAAAGAAAGTGAAACCACATGAAAGACATCGTCTTTATCGGGCATGCATTCAATCCCGTGCCACCGGCCACGACACACGTCGGGAATGTCGGTGGCCCAGTCGTTTCCGGTGGCTCTCATGATATCATAAACCGCCTCTTGCTCTCTCGGGTCAGTCCGAGACTCGGGCCCATTAACGAGGCTTGAAGGTGGGCCACCGGAGTCCGACATGATTATGGTGTACGGACGGCCCATCTCAGAATTGACTAGTAGTAGGACTAGAATTGTGGTGACAAGGAACTTCATTTTTTTTTTTTTTTTT